CGTATATACAAAGCACACACAACCACATCAAAGACAAGCAAACAACACACAGCTAAACAGGCAAAAACCAAGTAGCTCAACACACGACAACAAACAACAACACAAAGCAACACAAGCAAACATACAATCAATCAAAGCACAAATACACACACAAACACGGACACACACACACACACACCACAACACACAACACAACACAACACAACACAACACAACACAACACAACACACAACACAACACAACACAACACAACACAACACAACAACACAACGCAACACACAACACAACATTATGTATTTACCAGTCATGAACCAGCACACCAAAGCACACCTGGGAAACACGGCCAACAAACCACTGCCAAAGGAATTCCTGAGGAAGATGCAACACATTTGCTTCAGGCCAAAACCTTTCCCTTGGGCCACTTTCCAGAAGTGTCGCAGGTACGGCTCAATGTTGATTCAATTCGGAGAGGGAAACGGGTTCTCCTCTTAAGTGGTCTTTACAACACGGGAGAAAGGCACAATGGGTGGTGTCGTCCTTCCAAACGTGTAGTAGATTCGTCCCGACTTCTTTTATGTTCCCCAATAAGCTCTCTTACTCAGTCTGGACAGGCAAAAAGTAGCTACCCTCGTGGGGTCAATGACTTCATTTGCCCAAAAAGGCAAGGGAACCTCAGCTGCCAAGCCGCACATGATTGTACAATTCAGGTGCAGTGTAAGTAGAATTTGTTAAGGAAAGAGGCCAACCATAAGTTCTATTCTAGATTAGAACTTGAGTGAGTTCCTTTCAATCAAACACATCCACTCGATCAGCCCCCCACCCCCGAACCCACACTAAACACAACTCGAGAAAACAACACATAAAAACAGAAACACCATTCTCCCAGAACTCTTGGCACAGCGAGTGGCTAAATCGTGAAGAAGCGTCTGAGGAATGATTTCCGATTCTGAATGCAGGGATCCCCCCTCAACTTGTTCTTGAAGGAAGGGCAAGAAGGGTGGCGTCTCCTCAGCACTTGCCGCAGTCGGTTGCTTGAGGTGCACTGCGCTGGCAACGATCAACTACCAATGTGTAGGTTTGAAGGCACCAAGGCAGGCCAAAGGCAAAGGGTCCGCAAAGAAAGCAGCAGTCGAAAACTTATCAGCTGACGTGGTAAGGGGATGACACGGTACACGCCCCAAATCTGTGCTCAATGACAGCAAGTAAACTTAAATGAGGAGGGGCACAATCAATGTTGTCTTGATCTGATAATATATATATATATATGTGTGTGTGTATGTACTATGCATGCTTGACAAGTCTCGCGCTACAACAACACGAACATCTCTTTATAACATTTGTCATGGTAGCACAACACTTTGAATTTTGCAGTTCCCGAAAAAATGAGCAGAACCAACAAACCAAAAAACCAAAACACTTGACAACAGCAGTGACGATTGTTATAGTGTAGCGCACCCTCCGTTCCAATGCGGAAATGAGGGACCCGTTGGCCAAACATATTCAGGATGCCTTCGGTGGAATTCAGAAATTCCCGCAGCCAGAAATTCATCCGAGGTGTCCTTGGACACCAAGAGCAGGCGGCACACCACGTGTTGGATGCCTACGGAAGGTGCAAGAGAGACACAGAGCGGCAGAATTCCCCGATGCATTAGTTCCAACTGGTTCAATGAAACTGGCACCAGCAACGCTAGATGGATGCCCCTATTTTTGAGCCACACACATATTATCCTATATTACTTTGTCTGAATAGCCTCCAATCGCCACCACTGCGGGCCAATCGCGGAGCAATCTTGAAATCTTCTTCCCATCTTACCAGCAAACATGTAGATGTTGCCCCAATCGCGGCCCAATCGCCGGCCTTTCTTCACGCAGGTTTTACCCATCCCGCACCAACAACTTACACGAACACATTGAAGACATGCATTTGCGGACGTCCGTTTCATCAGCGCGGCAGAGGCGTTGAACGCTCCCATCTCGGTGTTTTTTTCCGGCGGAACGCGCACGGCAGAGGCAGCTTCGGCTGCGCCTGTCTCGGTCCGAAGGGTGGAGGCAATGCGGGCTGCGCGGTTCACGTTCGCGGACAGGATCTCCTCTCCACAGATGGCTGATATGGACGTCTCAAAATGGTGGACCCCCCAGAAACGGGGTTTGAAGGGAAACCAAAAGGAAACCCAAAGGGGATGCTTAATTTTGAGGAACAACCGGATTTGGTAGGCGTCCCCAACTGACATTCGAATTCGGTGATTGACTGGCCCCAAAGCAACTCTCACCTTCCTCCGCGTCTTTCGTGGCAAGTTGCTTATCACAGCTGAAATGCTTTTTGGGTGTGTCTTTCTAGGGGACAGGATGGCGTCCAAAGGAAAGTGGTCTAAACATTGCCTATGGCCCTCTGGAGCGTTCCTAAGCTGGCTTCAACTCGAGGGCGTTCCCATCGGCCGGAGACAAAAAACCTCATGCCATGATTTGTGTGTCGGCCTGACAAACATTCCACACACCTCCTGGCCGCCTAACAGGGAAAGACATATCTGTTGAAATAGGTATCGTCTCCAAAATGGGGGACCGACAAAGTGTGATCGGTTTCCTTCTGGTTTGCCTTTAAACTAATCCCTCCCCGCCTCCCCCCAAAAAAGCACTGCCTCCACAGTCATTTGACAGCTTCTTAACATAGTGCACTCCGTTTGAAGCCAAACCGTCTTCCGAAACATAACCCTGAGACCAACCCAATCGCACAGCCGAAGTCCCGTCCTTGTCCGAGGTCTGGGCACTTTGCAGCGCCTTGTCAAAGCGCTCGAAGGCCTTGTACTCCTCACCGATAACCCGGCCACCAGCCGGCAGGTCAAAGGGAAACAGTCGGCACCGGACACATCACAGGGGATGGTCAAAACGTGCGTCAAAACGCGCGAAACCAAATGGGTAGGGCTTCTTCTCGGTGTCCCTTTAAATTATCTGCCAACAGTACCGTCAAAAAAACACAAGCACGTAAAGCAAATGGCCATTGCCACAGAAAAATCGAAGAACTCATAAGGGTTGCACCAGGTCAGGCGGGTACGCACTCAATGGAAAAACATGATGCTAACCCGTTTTGCCAACTAGAACCTGTCTTTTGAGGTTGTGTGAGTTTTGGGTATGTCTGGCAAGGCGCACACAACCTGGAGGCGAAAAAGATCAAACACATGTGTTCAAGTGCCAACCAGCTTTAGAACAGCATCTCCCTTCTAACGAGAGGCTGTCATACAAACTTGCATCTTGTCTCGACGGAGTTGGTGTGGTGTTCCGTGGCCCAGCCAACAAGAATAATCACAGGAACTTGAACCCTGGCACAAACAACAGAAAAGCTTCCCGCGCTCCAAGTCACTCTCGACACCCTCGCCCCGCATGAGGCCTCCCAACATCAATTATGATATGCTGCTCGAATTATTTGCACCGCAGCGGCATATATTTCCTTCAAAACTGATGCAAGGCACCGGTGATTCGGTCATGCACTGCATGAAAGAAGGCTTCTAGCGGGACTCCTTTCCAAGTACATGTTCACCTCTCAGACCGGACCACCTTGAAAAGAAAATCATACTGCCAGCTGTAGTTGAATCCAGTCCCTTCGCAATTGCCTTGTGACAGCCACTTAATCTCAACGTGCATTATGACACCAAGAAACAATACACCTAACGCAAAGATGCAACAGGTATCGGCAAAAAACGATACATCTACCACGCCAGCGGCGCAACAAATCTGCAGACAGTGGCAGGCCTCCCCATATTTCCTCTTTAAACATCGCGCGGAAACTCACCAACAAATTGTAACCAAACGGTGATGTGCTCCCCTTTCCGGGAAAACAATTTCGGAAATAGATGCAACCCGGGTCCACCGAACTTGCTGCAAACCCATCCAGAGCGCTTCTTCGGCTCCTCCTTGTCTCTGGGAAAGGGAAGGTCCTCACGCTTCCAATCCTCATCGAAGGCGCTGCTGTGCGCCATAGCGCCTGGCCATCGGAAACCAGAACGAAGTCCTGTCGGTGGGTGGTTGCACTCTGTTGCCCAACGGACCCACAAGTAAAGTCAAAGCTTGATCTTTTGGGCCATCACTAATGGACCAAAACGAGGAAACCAACAGCCTTATGCCAATTGAAATCATCCGAACGGGGCTGCAAGCGGCCAACGACAAGCCCCACTGCCGGTCTCAAATGATTGGGAACCAGCCTTTGCTGGTCTTCAAAGGGGCGTTCCTTCCATTGCACAACTGTTACAACTCTAGCACAATGCCTCTGGTTCTCGTTTCAACATCCAGACTTGCGTAGCCCTGAGACATGAATGCCTCGCTATATGTCATAACACATGCCATACAATATCAATCAACAGCTGGAGTTCGCAGTGGATGGACCGGCCACCAAACATAATTGCACTTCCAGAAGTACATGGCAATCGACTCAATGACAGCCAGTGGTGTATGTGGATCGCATGTTGCCGGTGCAAACTGTCTTCACCTCACTGTCCCATAGACATGTTTATGAGAAGATCTACATGCGAATATGTGCATGGCCTTCGCTTTGCATATCCTTCCCTTTACGCACCTGTCAACACCATTTGCTCAACATGTCAAGGCTTCAAAAACAACTATTTTCACCAGGTGTTGCTTTCTGACGCCCTTAAAAAGAAAAAGCTGCCCTCGAGGCGAGGCTTCTGCACTTTGCCCGGAATCTGTTTTTTGCGTTTTGCCAGCACGGAAAATGGTCAATCCTCAAGTCCTCAGATGTTGAGGGGAGCACCGAGAAGACGAGAAGAGTTTCGTAGCTCGGGTTCAAAGTGTATAACTTAACTCGAAGCCACAAAAACAGCACCCATGTGTGGGCACCCTTTGACATGTGAAGCAACCAGCGTTTTTGTTGCTAGAGAACAAAGGCAAAGTTGCTTGGGTGTTTTACCCAGCCGAAACCAAATGAACACATATTCACCGGACTTGTCAAGACTGGAAAGAAAGGGTTATCATGTGAGCCATGCAAAATAGAAGGTCAAAAGGTTGAACTGATTCGGGAAATCAACATAGACGCAAAACACAAGCACGCCGCGACATGAGCAGCAAACTATATTTGAAGCGCAGGAAACACGACTGCCCGAGACCAACTGGAGCAGACTTGGGCGTGGAGAAGCAAGAAGAACAAAAGCCGCCGGCCTCTAAGAAGTCCCGATCAACATATCATGACAGCTAGAGAAACAAAAGGACATGCAGATCTCAAGCCATGTGTGGGTGAGGCCCATTTGTTGCAGTCTATTGTAGCTCTCCCTGCTTCTAAGTTCTGCTTCCGTGAAATCTACGATCAGTTCGGCTTGTGATCCCAGCCACATCTGCTTGCACCATACTGCCGTGCACCTAGCTACAACACACATCGACTCCTGCCACACAGGAATGCAACAAAAACGGTGAGCGTGAAGGCAATTGATATTTCGCAAGTCTTGCTGTCTTGCGTGCATACGGTGTGAGCCAAAGGGGCTGCGTGGGGAATTTTGGCGCGAGGCGAACTCGGAGCGTGAACTGCTAAAATGGAGTTTTCAAGGTTTCTATGGGTGTTTCTCAAAATTGGGCACCCCTCTAGGTGCTTTCCTTTTGGCTTCCCATTAAAACCGTCCAAAAAGAGGTCCGATACCTTTGAGAAACATCCCCATGGCGAAACCAGCTAGAACCATCCCCGGCCCTTTTGAGCTTTCAGGCGCTGCTCAATCCGCTTGGCCCAGCATATCCAAGGGGAAGCGCTAGAATGAGCGGGTCCATATTGGATGCCGAAACCACAGGCCTTTTGCGTTTTCGGCAAAAACGTCAACTCCATTGTACCAAAACGTACTTTGGTAAGTGGCAGACCTGGTATCAGCCTCATTGGTCAAAAGGCGATGAATGATCACTCTTGCTGATATACATACCCATGATGGGCATCGATCATGTCAACCAGAAGACCAGAAGTGCCATGTTCCCGTGAGTGCCTTGCAGGCTCATTTTTACAAACGGCACTCCCATTTTCCGCCAGCACCATTTGCACGAAGAGCCGTGGCGGTGACCAGGTGGGGAGCCTCAGCTGTTTCTATTCCATGTTGTGCGTGTCTCCAAATTTGAGCCCGCAAAATCAATGGTTTCCCCTTGCTGTCCCTTCTAAAGAACCTCGAAAAGGGATACCCCCCCACACGCAAACAACACACCAAACAAACAAGTTGAAACAAGCATTTTCACGAGAAGTCCTCAACTGTCCTATCAACACACATGACAAAGCAGGACAAGAGTGCTCCAAACTCCATCGCTCGCAGGACGAAGAGTCTAGCCGAGCTCTTGGATGCTCCCCGAAAGAAAGTAGCGTATGCACGTCTTGGTTTGGAACCAGTCGCAATGGCTCCTGCAAAAAACAAGCATGGTTGTGACCTACTCGCTAAGAGGTCCCTTTTCCGGGTCTTGTGAGGCTGGGGGGAAGGCGGCGGGCATGTAATTTGTGCAACTATCCTAAAAGGAGAAACCTGCTCATAGCACGTGGTTTAGTAAACCTCTACCCTCCCTCCAATCATGGAAGCTGACGAAAGTTTGGAGGACTATATTTTTGGGGAAGCCCACCTGCGCACTTCCATGTGGCAGGTACCCACTTGTTGGAAGTGTTAAACAGAAAACTAAGAGGAAAACCACAGATTATTTGGTCCACTAACAAAGTCACACCCCCATGTTGGAAAAAGGGAAAGCCCTCATGCGAGCTATGATCTCGCCTGGCCGATCCGGCGCGATCCAGGGGCTGGCAGGGTGCTGGCTCCTGGCGAAAAACTTTCGGCGTGCAACTGGATAACACAATCCCAGGCAAAAACACATGCTTTATCCCTTGACTGACCGGCATGAACACATTGCGCCATTTTGCACCCACAGAATTAGGACATTTCACCCGCCCCCCCCCTTCCAGATGTACGGGCAAAAGCTGTCCCGCGCTAAAGCAGCCTTGCTAACTCACCCCAAACCCAAAACACGCTCCCGCCTCTTAAGGGGTCCAACGAGAGGTCTGTGACTTTGACAAGCGCCCAGCTGACAAATGTTCGAAGCTGGCAGCGACAGCCGAACTCTCCGGTCCAGCAACCATGCTGCCCGCAGCAGGTATCATTGAAGCCCATTGCGTTAAACGGATATCGCTCGTGACTAACTTTAGTGGCAGATCAGGGGGTGTTCCTCCCCCAAATGCCGCCTTCCTCTCGCCAATTCTGCGCCCGCAACTCCTCAGCGAGTTCTCGTATCACACCTGATGATCTTCAGGCGAAATAACCTATAATTTAATGGCCCACTTCTTCACGAAACGAAGACCTGGGTCAATGATTCCCGAATTGCAAATTGCTCAAGTGCAACAACTTGAAACCCACTGATTTCCAATAATGCGCTGGTGTGCGCACGGCTCCTGTCACTGAACGTCCAAGCTCGTCCGTGCAGAGCCTGGCGGAAAAGTGGATGCATAAGCCATGGAGAGCTCCCGGAAAACAAGCGAACGCCTGGGCAAACGCCCACCCCTTATTTGAAGCAAATGGTAAGCTATTGTTCAGCAGCATCCCTTTGGTTTTCCTTTAAAATACATTGACATGGCCTTGTTTTGAAAACATGTTGCCGGCGGTCTCTCACGCTCTACTGTTTCAGGCACTCTCTCTCTCTCTCTGTATCTCGCTCTCTCTCTCTCTCTCTTTCTCTCTTCACCTGGAGATGGGACGCCTCTTAACTTTTTGGGCGGACAACTCATGTGGAGCGAAAGGAAACCAACCAAAAAAACACCGTTTGGGGGTGTGCCCTGAAAAAGGACACACCCATGTTTTTGTCCATGCGTCGTGTGTGTGTGTGAAGTGTGAATGTGCATGCTCTCTCACTTTGCTTGAAGCGTCCCCGCATTGTGGCATGTGCCGCGCAGACCATGCACAGACCGCGCGAGCTTGCAAGATCGAGCGTGTGACAAGGTCCTTCTTAACGAGCGCACGGGCTTGTAGCTTGAGTTGCCATTGGTCATCATTCGAGTGCGGCGGTGCTGCTGGTGCTCATAGCATTTGCAAGTCATTGTCTTGTGCTTCTCCCCGCATGTAGATGGCTCCTATTGTTGAGTAGGTGAATGATGCAGGTGTTCCTGTGGTTGCTGTGTTGTCTGTCATGGTCTTGGTGGTCCTCCGGCGGATATGCTGAGCGCTGACTTTCTGATCCTACACCCAACCCCTTCACGCACGTGCACACAAATACACAACATACCGTTTCTGGTCTTCCCCCCCCCCCGCCCCAGTCGCAACCACGTTTTGAACCTATTCACGGTTGGGCAACATCTTCCAAACGTGCAAGAGACAAATTATAGGAAACACAACAAGGCCAGGCACCATGCCATGGGTGAGGTCATTGGTCTTTGTGCTACTTTGTTCGTATCTAAATATGGCCCACCTCCAACAGGACACCAACAGTTTCAGAAGGTCAGTCCCCCACGCCCCCCGCAACAAAAGGTGGCGTTCACCTTGGCTTCCCTTTGAAACCACCCCAAAGGGGCACCACTAAAAACGTTCACAAGCCACCCAAAAATAATGTCAACTTCGGATTCATCAAAAGGACAACCATACGATTCAGGGGTGGGAACGCAATTTTAGCGCAGGATCCAATCAATTGGATGGGCTGCCTGAAGTAGGCAGCGTACTAAGCAAGTGGTGACTAAACATGGTTGTAGTACAAGCCACTTGAACTTACATTTCGGGTTTTGTAGTACAAGTAGGTGGGCGTGTATTCTTTGGAGGCGTCCTTCTTCAAGGTTGGTTCAGAGGAAATCAAAAGACAAGCAAGAGGCCTGCATAGTGAGCTCATCTTACCCGGATGAACCCCTGTCTTGCCATAAGCTGCTTCGATGTTCAACCTGGTAACCTACTTGTTAAATAGCTTATACTTCAGTGAATCAACCACTGTGTTGTCTAATCGTGGTTGTAACCTGCTTGCTCGCTACACTCGTATTTCCACCATAAACCGCTACTTTTGTGGGCCCAAGGGAAACTAGGGGTCATAAACTTACTAAGCATAAGGGCCTCAACAAATATAATTTGAGATTGTTCGGGTGCAAAAACAAAGATAGTCATGGTTCTTGGAGAGAACTATCGATACTCTAGCCCCAACTACGCTCCTGCAGATGAAAATGCAAGCATTGAATCCCTGACTCGCCACGGGCTCTTTTAATTTAACCACCCCCTGTCCTCCCACCTATAACTAGCAATGCACCTGGAAGGGATTGTTGGAACCTTCTTGGAAGGAGTTCTTTGAAGGCTAAGAGCCACTCTCTCAGTTGCACAAAGGACTCAGAAACAAAGGTTAACCTGTTGGGACCTTTAAACATTTGAAAAAGGGGCCAAAAATGGAATACCAAAAGGTTGAAAGGTCGACTTCGGGCAAGTGAGTTCTGTTGGGCGCCCGAATGACCATCTCTTAGTTCTATTTACCACCTACTTGACCGCGCCTTGCGCTGCTCCGGCGGGCTCACAGTGCCCGGTCTGGCAGCTTCGCTTTTCGCACACGGAACAGGCAGATCCTCCCGCTCGCTCACTCTCTCTCTCTCTCTCCTATCTCTCTCTCTCCTCTCCTCTCCTCTCCTCTTCTCTTCTCTTCTCTTCTCTGCTCTTCTCTTCTCTGCTCTCGCTGTCTCTCTCCCTCTCTCTCTCTCTTTCCGCCTCCCCCCAACACATGCTGCCCAACCCTGATGCGTACCCTCCCCAAACTAAACGGAAGGAACCCAAATGTGCCCCCCCAGTTTTGGAGAGTGTGGACCATGTCCGGCCAAAGGGATGCTTTTTTGAGGTCCCATGCTAGTTGTCATGGTTAGATCTTTGGTGGGGCCACCACCTTCCGACGAAACTTGTGCCAACTGCCATGCCCAAAACTCAACTCGCGCTGGAGCAATGGTCATGGGGCCGTTCTTGCCAACTTGTCTCCCGAGTTCTGATGGAGTGATGTTTAAACGATAAACAAACAGGAACCCCCAACATGTTTGTTTTCCTTCTGGTTTCCCCTTGTTTCCAACCCAAAAAGGTTCCCTCAAAAACGACATCAATGGTTCCTGTTCACCGTCCCGCTCCGAAACCCCATCTACGTCCTGCTGCATTCAGGTCGCTTTGGTCGATGTCCTGGGATCTCAGCCGATCCCAAATTGAACAGTGTAAGGTCCATCCACTCTTGCTCTGACTTGGTTTTCGTTGGGCACAGGATGCAATTTGCAATTTGTGTTT